TTCAAACTGCTTCCAACAAACTGGAATTCAAAAAAGCCTTTGAGGAGCTGGCATTTCACCTGTATTGGCAGATTACTGCAGGAGTGAAAACGAGATGCATGCAAATTAGGTTGTTTTTTCTTGTCCAGGAAGTAAACTTCCTATGCTGAATGATTTTTCATTTGCCTGTTGCTCACTCAGAAACTGTTCAGAGCTTTCTGTTAATCTCTCAAGTATTTAAACCAATAAATATTTTGGAAATAATTTTCCTGATGACTGATCAGTTCTGTGGTCTCATATCCTATCACAGCAGCTAAGGTTAGTTGGTTGCCACCAAACGGAAGCAGCTGGTGATAGTGATTGTAGACTCCCTTCTGGGGGGACAGAGGCACCCATCTGCTGATTCTGGTCATCTTGGGAGCTCAGTGCTTGCCAGGAGCTCAGACCGGGAATGTTGCGGAGGGGTTGGTAGAGCTCATCTGGCTTTGCAATGTTATTACCTCTTGTTGTTCATCCACGTGGGCACCCATAACACTGCTGAAACAGACCTGGAACATATCAAAGTGATTGATCCTCCTGATTAGGGTTCTGGAGTAAGAACATGGGAACCCACGTGGTGTTCTCCTAGGTCCTGCTGGTGAGGGGCAAAGGCCCAGGCAGGAGCAGCTGAATTGAGAATCAGCTCCTGCCTACACAGCTGGTGTTACAGGCAGAGTTTGGGCTTTTAAGACCATGGGATCCTCATTGAGGAAAGAGGACTGATGGGGAGCGTTAGGATCCATCTGACCAAACAGGGCAAGAGCATCTTTGCCAACAGGCTTGCTAACATAGCGTGGAGGACTTTAAACAGGGTTTGTTGTGGGACAGCAATAAAAGCCAGAAGAGAAGTTTAGGTAGCAGGAGGTGGACAGGGAGAAAGTATGTGGAGGACAGCATGGTGAGGAAGGCTCTCACACTTTGCCTGAGAAAGCAGCACTGTTGGAGACCTATCTCAAGCGACTGTAAGTGAAAACACAGCATGGGAAAGTTTTTTGTCTGTATGCAGACAGAGGTATGGTGTCACTGGAATTACGGAGACGTGGTGGGGTGATTCTCATGGCTGGAGTACTGCAAGGGATGATACAGACTCTTTAGAAAGACAGGCAGGGTAGGTGGGGCTGTAATGTTTCCCACTTCACTCGTCAGCAGGCCTACCTTTATTTTAGTCTTCCTTTTACCACTGAAGTGCCTGAAAAATTCCTTCTTGCTGCCTTTCACATCCCTTGCTGGTTTCAAAACCAGCTGAGCTTTGGCTTTCCTAATTCCAACCCTGCATGCCCAGGCGATGCTCGTTTGTCTCCTCAGGTAGCCCACCCCTCCTTTCCTCTTCCGTACAAGGGCTGTGTTACGCACTGCCGCCTTTGCTTCAGGCTTTCTTGGCAAGGTCTGCTCCCTGCTCCCTGAGACTGGTGACAGAGTGTGGAGAGTGAAACGTCCATAGTAGGAGAAAATCCAGATAGGGACCACTTGGCAATAGGACATAACGCAAATCCATGGGACCTGATGGGCGCTGAGCTGACTGGTGATGTCATTGTAGGGTCACTCTCTATCTTGGAAAAGTCATGACAGCTGGGAGGGGATTCCTGATGACTGGAGAAAGACATCTTTCACCACCCATCTACAAAAAAAGACAATCTAGGAAAGTTCAAGCTAGTCAGCCTCACCTCATTCCCCAGGAAGATCATGAAGCAAATCCTCCTGGAGAACGTTTCTAGGCATGTAAAGGAGGAGAAAGCGACTGGCAGCAGCCGGTGTGGATTTGCCAGGGGCAAGCTGCTGGGCAGTGCCAGTTATAAGATCACTGATCTGGAGAGCAGATTGAATTTTTTTATTATTATTTTTATTTTTATTATTGTAGTCTTGTTGGTTGATGGTGTACCTTCCTGAAGGAACAGTACTTTCTTTAGGGGCCCTCCTAGAGAAAAGAAGAATTTCAGCTGCAGATGTGAAAGTTTTGACTTTTGCTCTCCAGGAGAACGGCAGGGGAGGGAGCAGCCTCGCTAGTCAGGAGATGCAGGCTTGGAGTGCTCCACCTCTGCTGGACGTTTTTCCATTTCCTACAGTTACATGAAAGCAAGTAGCTGCAGTGGAAACCACCAGATCTTTAGAAGACGCCCAGATGTCAAGTTTCAGTATTTTGTTGTTGCACCGTCCGAGGCCAGGTCCTAGGCCAGCAGTGTCTCCTAAGTACCGCTCTCCTCTTTCACCTCTGCTACTACTGGCAGAGGTGAACTACTGATGGTTTATGAGACCACGTTTCTTGTTGCCAGCCTGGCTGTAGATGAAATAGGGAATTGAAGTGCTCATCTTATTACCTTATTGCCTATTGTACCTACCCTGAGTAGGCATAAAAAAAGAAATCACCTTTGGCATACACAGAACGATAGGCTGTATTCAGTTGAAAATACTGAAACATAATGCACTAGTATGGAGGAACGCTCACAAAATTTGTCTTTATGCAGTTGGAACTGATTGGAAAAGTAAAAAGAGAGGTAAAGGAATATTTCTGGATATATTTGGGTCTCAGGCCAGTTGCCAGAGATGACAACATGAATTTCATGCTTCAGAACGTAAATCAACCGTGAGTTGCTTTGTACTGACAGACTTTCCTGGCAGAATTAAAATTTCTCTTGACTAGCTTATGGATTCAGCACGTTCCTCTGAAACACCAGGCTGAAATCTGCCAGAGGCTGGCGGTGGCACCGGAGGGCTGGCTTTCAGGTCTGCTCCGCTGCGACGGGAAGGTGCGTTCGGCTGCCTCACTGCCTTCTCCGGGGAAAAATAGCTTGTTTTACACTATTCAAAACGTCCAGGATGAGGTGCATATAATGATTTATTCCTTCTAGACTTAACTTGAACGATGCACTGAGTATTTCTGCTGCTTCAGGAGACTTCATTCGTTACTTGTAAGAGAAAGGTGAAGAATGGAGGATTCATTTGAGTGCTGATGTTAATAGACCTGAGATGAAACCTTCTTTCTGTAGTCAATTTTCCTCGCTTTTCCGTATTAGTAAGCGCTTTCTTTTAAATACTAAGTGAAATGAAAACGAACATGAAAAACACAATGGGCAGTTAGGTGTGTTTGTTTATACAGTATCATATACAGGGTTGTTTCTCTTCAGCATTAACTTGAATCTGCTTTTTATTTTCTTTGGAGCTGCAAGAGACTATCTGTAAGAAGATGCAATAAAACAAGCATCCTGGCTGGCAGGACTTTCACTGCTCCTCACAATTTCAGGACTCTGACAGGTGTCTTCTGTTACATCTAGTGACTGTGATTTAAGATGTTACTGCATCTCACTCTTATCAGCAGAACAGGATGTGCCTCACATCTTAGAACAGAGCCAGCTTCGCTACTATGACACTTCTCTTATTTAAACCACAGGAATTATTTTT